ATTAAATTTTACTAAAACTGTTGTTTTTATACCCAAAATGTATACCACAAAATCTATAAGTGGTCATAACAATACAATATTATGAAAGATTGTTTTTTCTAGATATGTTTACATATCACATTATTGACTTTTGCATGGCAAATAAAAAAGTTACGATTATTGAATCCACAGTGACTGTCTGTCTTATTTTTTTGAAAAGAATGCAGTGGGGGGAACGTTATGGTCAGATAAATTGAAGCATGTTAAGGGTTAAAGACTTAAATCGTTTTTTAAAATTAATGTTTTATGAAGTCAGCCAAAATAAAATAACGTTTCAAAAACGTACTATAACTTATTTTCTGTATTTTTGTTTTGAGAAAAATCAATAGCTACTGGAAATTTAATGTTTGTATATTTTGTTTATTTGGATGTGGCAATATAAAATTTAGTTGTCGTAATGTATTGGTTCATTAAAAACTTGCATGCCAAAAAGCAAGATGATAAAACAAAATAAAATCTACTCAATAGAAGATTTTCGATCTGCAGTTAACAGTTTCTAGCAAAAATAATAGCATTATGTATAAAAAAAATACATACTTAAAAGAATAATTTTCATTCGAATCGAAAGTTTGTTGATGTCTGCTTCGTTGAAAACAGCTATGACCCGGAAACAGTTCATTTTACTGCGTGTACCCTGATACTATGTAACGATGCTTTTGATTGGACAAAGCCACGCATTGACGCGAAAAACAACCAATCAGAATATTTGATCCAATAAGAACACAAGTAAATTTATTTCCTTCACTTATGACGCGAGTTGAAAGCAAGGCCGTTTTACCGGGGTTTTTAAATCGTGATTTGAAGAAAATTCAACTTTAAATAGTCGAAATATAAACATTTACATCTTTAATCAAGCATTCGTCTGGACTTTTTGGTGATCAACTATGTTGTCTGTGATGGTACGTCAGCTGCGTTTACTGATCATGCAAGTGCATGGCTGCCTTCGTTCCGCTCGGCAATGACAATGTTGCCGCTACAAGTCATGGCGTGAACTTGGTTTTAACCATAGACCTTATTTAGTCTTTAACGAATGGTTTTACCGATATCGGTTTTGTATATTTGACGTCACCCTGGCAGTAAAAATATGGGTACGGTAATCCTCTTTTCTATGCGTTACCGCCGTGCTAAGTAGGGTTTCACCCACACTCGATTGCCACTGGGCCTCTCACATCGCAACTCGTTGAGTTGAGTTTCACGCCTATTGTTTTTTTAATTGGTTACACAACCCAAGCTTTGATTATCCA